GTTTTCTTTCCTCACTACGAATCTCCTCTGTTTCCTCTGGCTCCACCGTGGAGGAACGGCCAAAGATAGGCTCACTCCTCGACGAGCTTGATCTCTTCTCTGATTTTCTCGAGAAACTAACATGAGAAAACGATTTCCATTTTCGCCACACAGGGCTAAAACAAGTCGGTTTGAGTTTCCCATTGAAAGGATGACATAAAAAACCGTTCTTGACCCAACCGCACCGACACCGAGTTCCACCTCCGACGACGACCCGACTAGTTCCGGGTTTGGGTTTGGGTTTGGGTTTCTTTGACCGGTTTATCCTTACTTGACCCATGCAAGTGACTTTAGGTGAAGACGGTTCTTGTGTCTCTCCCGCCGCAGAAGCGTTCTTCCGTCGGAAAAAGATTGGTTTTTTGGATCGAGAACGGCTTCTGCTTCTGCTTTTGGTCCGTAAGAACCGCATGAGCAAAGGCGGGTTTTCGGTTCGACCCGGACTCGAAACGGGTCGTGAAGAAAACCTCATCCTTTTTTTTTCTTCTCGTGATTTTTATTATTGAAGCTCTCACTCTCTTTTCTTGTTGGGGTCCCTATATGATTCAGATCGAAGAGTGAGTTTTTTTTAATATTTTTCTTTATATATATATGTTTTGTTATGTTCACACGTTGGATTCTGAAAAACTGACGGATGACATCTTTTCTTTTAAGAGGAAATCGACAGTACTGCTAGGTTGATCCTTTTTACAAGGGGGGAGTATTACTATTTTTGTCTTTTAAAATGTTGTACTTTTTTGTCTGTATGCTCTCGAGTTGCTTTGTTAACTTAAGAACTCTTGTTGGATTCACTTTTTTGCTTTTTGTTTGAAGCTAAAAAGTTAATGATCTGAAAGTCTTTTTAAGTAACAAAGAGAATCTAATTTTTATCAAAAAAAAAAAAAAGAGAATCTAATACAATGGTTATTCCATTATGTTATGAATCATCGTGATTTTATTAAATACTTACATGGTTGGTCACTTATATATAGAACATTACACAATTTCACAGCGTAATTTTTGTTTTTTTAATAATGCGAAAGAACTTGAGATATGCGTTAATGTGGGTATGTGTTGAGTATAATTATTAGCATAGCGTATTTCTTCTTTTTTCAGATTTAATGGTAAATAAAAACTTAGGCTGAAGGAACTTCATAAACAAAAATATCACCTTTTTGTAGATTGCTTCCACTAAAATCTGATATATATATATATACATGTTGATCTCTTTAAGTTTTTTTTTTGTTTCCTTGTGAAAATCAACCTAATATCTCCTTATGATGGACGTCCCTAATTTGTCCTTCGATGACTGCTTACAACTTATTCACTCATTTTCTATAATATTGCTGGTTTTTGAATTAGATTTTGTTTTTTTTAATTCCATTGCCTAAAAGTTATTTTAATGAGATCAAAAGGCTTTGTAACTTCTACCCAAAAAAAAAAAGGCATTGTAACATGCATCTTTAATATGGTCTCGATCTTCTGACTCAGCGCACGAGGCAATGCCGCAATAGTATCGTACGATATCATATGGCAACTAAAGTCTAAATTAAAGAAAAGTAGAGGTTTGGGTTTGCGTCGGGTTAGGGATTAGAATCACGTTCTCGTAATTAAATTAACTTGCTTATTAATTTCAGAAAGTTGATGACTATAAATGTCTTTGGGCACATATTATTTTGTCGGGAGCTTCATTCTCAAAGCTCAAACCGTCAGGCCAATGAAATTTCAGCACCTTGCAAACCTTCTTCAAATCGCATTAACAAAAAAAATGCCAAATCGAAAATTTCACTTCTTATTTTTTGGTTTTTTATGGTTTTTGATTCATGCATTACACTAGGTATCTTATCTGATACCTCCGGCTTGAATGCTCAAATTGTATATAATGCCAAAAATGGATTGTTATCGCTAAAATATCATGCTTGTAAAATTTTCTCAAAAAAATAAAAAAATATTATGCTTGTAATCGAAATGGTGGTGAATTGAGGTGCTATTTTCGCAGATAGAAATATTCTTGTGTGCCATATAAAAATATAAATGTTATGATACAGTCTTTCTCGAGTCCTTCCTCTAGTTAATAAATGGTTTATTTCCTTTTCTTTTTTGTTAACTATAATCATAGGATTCGTGGGGATTATGAAAATCCGAATTTTCTTGCCACTTAAGGCCTCCACAGTAGCCAACTATAATTGAAATCGTAGTTAGAAGATCCATCAACTAACAAGGTGAATTCTCAACCGACTAGATTACCATGAGCTGGTTTACTATTAAACTATTCAATTAGTCTGTGTTCTTTTCTCTCATATCATTGTGCTAATCTGTTTAGAAGAATATTTGTTAGCCATTTCTTATAATTTTCTTGTAATTCTGCTAATCTCTCAACATAAATCTATATTTTTTAAGACAAAAAGTGCTAACATTGGATTTTTTCTTAAAAAAAAAAAGTGCTAACATTGGATTGTTCCTTACAAATATTGAATATCATCATCACGTCTCGTTTTTTAAAGACTATCCACTATATTAAGTATTGTCAAGAAGAGATGTAAAATATTCCTAAAACAAAATTCAAAATCAAAGAAGATTATTACTCTGAAAGAAAAAGTATATTGGCCCATCACAACATCCTTAATTTAAAAACACACAGCGCCATTCTGATCTAAGATTGGCCGGTCTGATACAAATTATGCTATAGCCAGTACTTATAAAATGATGTAATCTGATTTCGACCAAAAAAAAAAAAAAGATGTAATCTGCTGGTTAAGAACCAATATTGTGATTCAAATTGATATGAGAATACAAATGTGGTCAAAGTTTCATTTTTCTTTTGTGAACTGGATCTTTGGCTCATTTGTTCAACATTTTGCGGAGAGGTAAAATCGAACGCTCAAAGATTTGCCGAGGCGACAACGTCACTTGCGCTAGTGGATCCGAGCAAGTTTGATCAAAGTTATAACTCTCAAGCAAACAATATTAGTAAAAAAAAAGTTTGTGTTCGATCCTATTTGATGATCCCATTTTCAATTCAACCGTACCAATCTGGTTTACTGTTCCATAGATCCACCACCAAATTTTTATCTATCCTACAAATTAATTGAAAACGTCCCATTATGATCAGAACCATATTCTTCGCAACCACTACCATAAGAACGACAATTTTGATGATTGAAGTTAAGAAGACTATAAAGCTTTACTACTTCTGCTTTAAAAAATCAGAATTGGACATTAAGATTCATTGGTAAGCAAAGTTTTATTTTAATATATTTTCTATACTAACAATGATTCTCTTTTATTTCTCAAACATATTTCAGTTAAAGTGTTTCAATCCCAACAACTGGTTGTTGCAAAAGACGACTAACACAAGCAATCATCAAACATCAAAATACTCTTACCCTTGCTCATAGGTTTCAATCACACACCAAAAATATAAAGACAAAAAACTATACAACTGTCATAAAAATTTATTATATATCACAATCTTCACACATTGTTCTTCC